ATCGGTTCACTTAATGATATTGTATTAGCGATTCAGCAAGTACTTTTACTTTTAATACTTAAAAGCCAGTACTTTTTTACTTTTACTTAAGTACATTTTTTGAGGTTTCTAGATGTGGGCTCTGCGGTTCATCTAGTCGTATTATCTCAACACCTAGAGAGAGAGACACAGTGTGGACACACATTACTGAGAGGAAGAGAGTCCAAGTTAATCATTTTCACTATCAATCAGGTGTTAAATTAAAAAGAAAAGAAGAAGAGGTAGATAAGAAGTTCTTAACAGGGAACTAACATGTCTATGGTTTATTCAGGCTGCAAAGGAGTGAGAGAGGAAGACTTTGTGACTTCTTATATAGGAAGAGGGGAATGGAGGACAGTGAAGTAGCTTTTTTATTACTTTGTGCTTTCAATCTCTATCACAGGACATGATGAATATGGTAATGTTGGCAGCGCTCTGAAAATCTCGAAGTTTGTGTACAGATCTAAACTTTCCACATTGTGCACAAAGGGACAGCTGTTTCTGTAATGACAGCTCTGCCTTTCCAATTTAAGATGGTTACAATGTCCCCTCCATAAAACTCTTGTCTTTGTTTTAAAATAGTAAAACCGCATTTTACGGGGGACTGTTCTCTTTCACATCATAAACATTCCTAATACAATGAACTTCACAGCAGAAAAGCCAACGTTGACGTCAGCGGGTCAAAAATAAGCCACAAAATTCTGATTGGTGAACTTTTGATAAAAGTTAAAGTATTATTACCACACAGAGGAGTACGAGTTCCTCTCCAATTCTTTGTCTTAACTTGCAACTTTTTTTCCCCCTAACACTTTTCTTACAACACTTTTGACGATCTACAGCAAAAGGTTTGGTGGTTCTGTGATCACACACAAATATCTTGGAAATTTCAAGAGTGCTGCATCCCTCTGAAAGACTTAATTTTTGAATTTTTCTGAGTGAGTTAAATCTGTTTTGGTCCCACTAGCCCTGAGGCTGCCTAATAATTATGTACACCTTGATAAAAGGGTGTTGATGTCCTTAGGCCACACCGTCCTTCATTACACAAATACACATCACCTGATAAGCTTAAACCCAATAAACATCCAAGTTTATTCAGCGTGGATAGTATGCATAAAAATGAAAATATGGTCAAATTGCTCTCTTGTCCAATAATTGTGCACAGAGTATAAATGTCATTTGCAAACACTAAATATTCGACTGATAAGAAGCTGTCTTTCTGTGTAATTAGATACATTAAAAAGTTTGACTCTGAAAGGATATCGTGTCGTTGCAGAAGGAGACCAGTAAGCAGAGTGATACCCATATGACACCTGCATGATTTGAATTTTTGCAAAGATTTCAAGCGTTGAGAGCAGCAAAAAAGAACGAAACCCATTAGTAAGGTTTCTGTTTGCCAGCTGTCTATTATTTCAGGTTTAATCTCAGTAAAGTGTAATGAAACTTTATTTAAATTCTATTAAGTTCTGATATGCGTTTGTAATCATAGTCCTGTTGGATCATCCAAGTTTTAATCATCCAACTTTGGAAAGAAGCTCAAGAATTTAGAGGTTTAGTCTTTGGTTTATATTTTATCCACTTTGTGCAATGCATCAGTACCATTATGACCCTTAGCATGATGCTACCATCATCATAATGGAAGCTGGTGACGTGCTTTTTGCGCTGAAAGCTTCATCATCACACCTCCAAACATATTTCTTCTCATGTGATCAAACGACTCAACTTTTGTCTCAGATCATACTTAGGTCTCATTTTCTCCAGAAGGCATTTTGACTTCCTCAAGATCCTCGTCAACTTTCTTTCCTCGGAGGGCAGAAGTTTGGGTTAGAATATTGAAACTTGGACAGAACTGGGTGTTCCAACCAGACAGTGATGCAAAAAGAACACAAGAAAACTGATTTTTGAATTATATTAGCATTGTGGAATGACCCTAACCTCAGCATGAATAAAAATGTAGAGACTGTGCTTAAAACCCAGGATTTGTGACAGGAAACCCACAAATTTAAATGAACTTTACCACTTCTGATAAGAAGAGTGGTCAAATATCCAGCTAGAATGATACCAGAACAGAAAGCATTTGGTTTTTCTGCAGCTTGTTGAGGTCAGTTTATCAAAAGTGGGGTACTTTCAGAGATCTGAGTGCATCCAAATCTATTCTTTCCCAATCACTGAAGTTTCGGCGGGAATTGCGTCATCACCAAACTCACTCTTGGATGTGATGCATTAAATCACAGGATTCTACATTCTCCAGCAAAACAATGTAGCTCGATATAAAAACCCATCAACTAATGATATAGTAGTGATCCAAAGGATTTTCTCATACCCGTTTAATGAATTCAGGATGTCAAGAAAACAACAGTATAAGCGTTTTCTTCTCATGAGTCATTGAGGGCTTCAGTTCAATTTAAATTGGACCCGTGCTCGTGAACATGGCTGTCGTGTTTGTGTCTGCACCGGAGCACGGCTCTGCTCTGTACGTACCATGGCAGCTGCATGTCCGACAGTCCCAGCGGGCAGCACGCTGGCACCCGCAGTGGTGCTGACGCTGTTAGGGTGCCGTATGCGGACAGCTGGCCCAGCTACCATGGCAGGAGGGGTGCCGCCGGCTGCTGGTTTGACTCCCTGCTGCAGGGGCTGGGTCAGGGACTGCTGACTGTTCAACAAAGACAGCCTCAGGGCCGGGAGGCTCTTCTGTTGACGCACACAGGGAGGTCATGAAGATTGCAGTCACACAGCAACACAAAGCAGCACATACAGCTGCAACAACAAGTTCAGCAGCTGGGTACACTGGTTGTTTTATCGTTACTTAGGAAATCACGACTGAACGTGGCGCATGCGTATCAAACGTGCCATGTACATTTGATATTTACTTGTGATAATAATTAAAAACTATAAGTGCACATTTCCTGGTCTGTTACAGAAAGTCCAAATAAAATAAACTTTGTGGTTGTAATGTGAGAAAATGTAAAAAAAAAAAAGTTCAAAGAAATGTCTGCTGCAGCTATCAATACCAGAATAAAGCTACTTAGCCTTTCGATTTTAATTGATAGATTAAAAAGATACCCCCAAACAAAAAGCCCACCTTGAGAAATGGCACCAGGTAAGGCTGCGGAGACGACTTGAGCTCAGTCTGCAGCCTGCTGGTGAACTCTTCTGGTTCAATCTTGGCATCCTGTCGGACAGAAAGAAGAGAAACAAGAACCAGGCAGATTAACATGGTGATCCTAAAACCTTAAAGTATATTCTAAAACAAAGGTTGAAAATTCATGAGTTCAGAAAGTAGATTTTGGAAAAAGTTTCATGCTGCCATCTACAGGTTGAAAATATTCAATACAAAACACACAAAAGGTCAAAGTTGACTAGTTCAATTAGGCTATTTACCACCTGAAGTTAGTCAGATGTTCAAGAAATACAATTTCATTAATGTCTGCCATGTTAAAAAGAGCTGCTATACACTTTATGTAATAATGAAGACAATACAGTTTGTTTGGTTTCTCACACCCACCAGCAGATCCTGAACCAGAGCTTTGACGTTCTTGGAAGTCTCAGGAGACGGAGAGTTGTGAGACGCCAGCTTGATAAGTGTAGCCAGGAAATTCTTACACTTCTTCACATTTTCTTGCATCTCCTGTGAAACATGGGGAATATTTTTTTTTTTTACCATGTTTAAAAAAATAAAATAAGATTGTAAAATTAATTAAATTAGAAAATAAAGATGAGAATATTACTCTTTCAGCAATTGGCCTTTTTTTGGGTCTGTATGCTCCAGTTAAAGATTAATCAATCACTAAATTAGTTGACGACTGTTTCAATAACCACTTTATTGCTATTAATCCGCTTAATCGTTTCAGCCTTGCGAACAAGCAAGAGTTCATGTTGGCTGCATGTCCTTGGGTATGCACTAGTGTGAATGCATGGGTGCAAATGTTTGTGGGCATGTGTGAGACTCCTTGTCCGTGCCAGGAACCAGCGCCGGCCTCCTGGGAAACGGCGGAGAACAGACCTGGGACACGACCGGAGCTCCGGGGGCCGCTGCGACGCTCGTCTGCGTCTGTGCCGCTGGCTGGGAGGTAGGCTGGGCCTGGGCCTGGGGGGTGATGGCCATGGGGGCCTGCTGCGGAGCCGTCACTGCCACGGTCGGCACCACGGGGCCCTTCTGGAAGAGCAAGGAAGAGACAGAGAGACAAACAGGACGTGACGCTTTGCTCGCAGCAAGGCCACAGAGAACAGGAGGCAGGCGCCACGGCGCTCCTGTCACATCTGGTCTCCTGACTTCAGCGGACATCTTTTAACAGAAAAGGAGGAGGAGAGGGGAGGCAGTGACAAGCAAGAAGCTTGGAAACAGAGTTATCTGTTAAACCTATGCTTGATGCTCACTCATGGCTGGCACCACCTTACCGGCACGACATTACAGCTTCTGCTGTAGTGATGTGTTTTTATATTTTATTTAATAATAAGTGCATGAATGATTGACAAGAAAAAGCAGATATTGAAGCGCACTCAGCGCTGCATCAAGAAGCTCCGAAGGAAACGACACGAAAACCTCTGAAGAAGACATGATGGCACCGTCCTTCTTCACAATCAAAACTGGAATAGCTCAGATTTTTGTGGTTGTAAGATTTCTCTTTAGTCTTGGGTAAACGAACACATGCTAGCTATCGCGACAGGCCTAAATTTTTAGGCTTGCCCTTCACATCTCCCCGAACAAACCGGACTTTCAAGGTAAATGAACTAGAGCTCAAAGAAAGCAGACTAACCAGAGCCTAAAACAGTTTAGAAGGGTCTCTCAGCAACCAAAAGCTAACACTTCTATATTATCTGATAGCAGTTAAATAACCCAGGAAAGAACTTATTGGTAAGATATTTTAGAAAGCATAATGAATAAATTCTGATTTTCCTTAGAGAGAGAAAAAAACAAAACTCCAAGAAATAATTCATGCAAAACATCCTCTCAAAAACAAAGCCACATCCTAACATTGTTCCTCAACATGAGCTATCAGGACGGCTGCAGGAATAACACATGAATTCATCATTCGAGGAGTGTTAGCTCACAGGGCGGAGTGCAGGACAAGAGGAGGAGGAGGAAGTAGAGGAGAAAGAGGTCTGGAGGGCAGGGCTGGAAGGTGCGGGAGAGGGAGACGGTGCCATCTTGGCCGGGGTCAAAGGGCACGGCCTTGTGGTCTGAGAAGTTGCAGGAGACTGCTGGAAAGAAAAAGAGCAACAGGATAAGGAAAAAGCCGGAGCGTGCCTCGCAGACACGTAGAGAAAGGTCACAAGGAGGAGAGAAGATGGTGTGAGCATGATGGCGGCGGTAAAGACTGACACAAAGCCAAGTTGCAGAGAATCAGGATGTCATGCAGGCACTGGTTGTTCCCATCATGTTATGTGTGTAAATGGAAGGAAATTGTGGAACAAAGCATGTTGTGCTGGAAAGCTGGAATAATCTTAAAAGCAGGGTGAAGTAATCTCTTTCCTCCATCAAAGCTCAAATAAAAAAAAAATGTCTCTATTAGATGATGGGACCCCTGTCTGAAAAGCAATTCACTATTCTAGCAGTCTGACAGCTTGCATCACAGGAAGACGGTTCAAATCTTCTGATCTCTCCGTTTTAAGTCAGGGAATATAAATTTCTTTATAGTCGTTTGAAGAAAATCCCCGACATGAAAGAGAAATTATGACCATTTCACCATACGTAAATGATCAATTGTTTGAAAACACATTTTTTAGCCATTTGAAGCTGTATTTTTACTTCAGCTTATTATTTAGAATAAGATGACTGCCTCACAGTATTTACACACAAACATTTTAATAGAAATAAAGAACATGATCTAACAGCTTTCATTTAAAAACAGAAAAGCCACATTTATTCCTCCTGTTGCCAACGCAAACATATTGTGATTACTACTGCTCTGAAAGTGTTATCCAGAACATTTATTGTGCATGTGATATTGACAATCTTGTAAAAAATATAAATACAGATTAACATAATTATAACAAGTTAATATTGGCCAAATAATTAGTTGGGCTATTTGCTCTGTTGCCAACCTAATAGACATTCTGCTAACTGTAGTTTGGTTTAAAACTGTTAAGGGTGGCACTCCTTGAGTTTGGATACAATGACTTGTTTGTTTTTTTGCTTTTTCAGCTGGATCTGTCTTCCTTGTAAGCCAGGGAAAGCAATAAGTGGGGGAAGTGTGACACCACGCTACTATATAGCCCAACTCCTGGCCAAAACAACCCAGGAGGCCTTCTGCTCTGACCTCTGGCTCCCAAACAAGACCAAGAAGTCATAGAAATACCTCCACAAACACACATGCTTCCAAATTTAGGCTCAAACGGAGCTGCACAATATTAGGAAAACGTGTAATTGCAATACTTTTGATGAATATTGAAATGCGGTGCGGTTTACTTTGAATTTTGGCAACTTAGCCACTTAAAAATGTACACGTTATGTGAATCAAGGGAAGTCAGAGAGCATCCAATTGGCTAAATATAGTCATGGCATTCATAGTATGAATGCCAAACACAAATACAATTTCATCTAAGCAAATATTGATATAGCGATGCGATACATTGTTAGGTTTTACACTCGTGTGAACTGTAGTTTCACGCACACAGTGAAAACGTGGGCAGTTTTTCGGTGCAGAAGTAGGATAAGAAAAGGAGGAGGGAGTTTCCCCTCCACTAAAAGTTTTGTAGAGCTAAAGAGTTGGGGGAAGTCAGTGTATGACGGATGAATGGGGGGGGAAGGTAGGAGCCACGGGGTGCATCCCACCCCCAGCTATGCCCCACTCGTGCTCACTTTCACTCCCACATGAGCACACTGGAGAACCAAAGCCTTGTTAGCTTTTTAAAATAATCAGGCAGTTGGATGATGAATGATTTAACAGGTATGGAAGGAAGGAAGCTCAGGATGCCTTCCGTTTCTCCCCTCGGGCTCATAGGAAGAGTGACAGGCCGACAGAGGGGTTGAGCTCTGGGAATAAACACCATTCCCTTTCATTTCACAGCTACTGCTTTTCCTGTCGAGATGGCAACGCCGCGGCCCACTAATTTGTCAACAGAGTGACTGGGAGAGGCGACGACAATCTGCGAGTCTCTTTTGAGCGGAGCATGTCAGGATGGAGGCAGGTTGGCTGGCTGGAAGCAAAGTTCTGCTCTGAACTGGTACAGATTTCTATCCACAACACCCTGACCAACTTGCTGTCTAACATTTAACAGTTTTTCTCATGATTATGTAGGCGAAAACATTTCATGAGAACAATCACTCAATGCCAGGTTTAAAAAGTATGAAAGTTTATTCTTTGAGGGAGCAGAACTACCTGCAAGGTTGTGTTATACACCAGAATGTTACATTTCTGAATTTTAAACCCTGACATTCGGCATTTTGCATATGAACCCAAACAGAGGACGCGTTTTTGAACATTTTTTTATGTCAGTTCTACCACCTTCTTCTATTTCCCCAGATATAATATGCTTTAGCTTTCACTGACTTTTGAAATAAAGCATGATGATATAAAACCAAAATATTGTCTTATCTTGAGGTTGCACAGAAATTAGGAGGAACAGATAATAGTAAATGTCAGAGAATAAAAGCAGGACGAACCAAACTGGAAAAATTGAGTAATGAAATGCTGCCCTCTAGTGTCAATGTTTTGTCTTTGCAACTACACTTCACAAACTTCAACTACAAACTTCAATGTTTTTTATTGACTGAAGATTAAACTGAGGTAAGTACATCATTGTGAAGTGGAAGGAAAACAATACATAGTTTAATTTCTTGTTACTCCTAAAATTCTCACACCTGAGATGTGAATCTCTTCAGCTCCTCCAGAGTTACTATGAATATCTTGGCTGTTTCCTGGCTTAACACAAAACTCACTCCAAAGAGGTTTTTACGACTTGGGACATTGTTTTTTACCCTGACTCTGTTTTAAACCTCTCAAACTCTTTATCCCTGCCCTGTGTTGTGTGTTCTTAGGTCACCATGGTGCAGTTTGCTCATTAATATTCTAAGGTCGACATACAATAAAAGTATTTATATTAACTTCTGAAGACAAGTGGTTACCCTGGATTTTATTTTGTGTTTTTTTATTATGCTATAAGAGCAGCAAGCTCTCACTAGTCGAGCCCCTTTAAGCTCCTTCATACGTCACACATTTTGTCCAAAAAAGAGGTCTTTAAAAGAGGTATTTTACTGGACATAATGAAGGGAAACACACACACACACACACACAAAAACGTACAGATTCAAAAAACAAATGGAAAGTGATAGTTAAAAGACGGTGTTACTCTTGGGGTGTCAGGTTTCTACAAAAAGAAAACGCTTTTCATCCTTTTTAAACTAATTATTCAACAACCAGTCAAAAAGCCTTGTAATTGTAAGCTTAGATAACATGCAATTCATGATGCTTATATTCTTCAAATAGCAGAGAAACAGTCACTCAGAGAAATAGCTCAAGTAACAATAATAACATAAAGACTTTAATTATTTATATGTCTCCCACAATAGTGAACAGGGATGGAAACTATTTTCATCTCTGAAAAATTAAGGGATATACATTTCTTTTAAATACTTGTATTTAGTGACAATTCCATAAATAAACAATTAACCAAGAAATTAGATTGTATTTATTGAGAGATAAATACTTTTTGAAACATTTATGGACTCCAGATCCTCATATTTCATTTATAGTTATAACTAAAGCTTTAGAGTTGACCAATAACACTATTATTAGAAAATGAAAAAATAAAAAATAAAAAATAAAAACCACAATAAATGACTAAGAAAATACTAAATGGTTTGTTCTGAATCATAAAGACATTTATTTACCTGGCAGGTGCTCTGTGTCAGTAAAACTGATCTGAACTTAGAGGACCTAAACATTTACCTACCTTGTAATTGAACACTTAGTACTTTCCAAAGGTGTGCACCCAGAAGCATAAGTTCCCGCTTCCAAATGAATGATGTATCCACAGGTGATAATAATCAAATTCCTATTAATGATTCAGCAACCCGTTAAATTTTTTATGAGAGGACCCCGTGGAGTCATTATGAAGCCTTGAGATGTTAATTCACCAATTAATCTCAATTGAATTTATGGATAAAATAATCAAGTATATCCATTTGTTCTAATTAGGCGTTTTAAGATATCAATCATACTGCAATTAACAACTAGAGTTAAGCCGTGCATTTATTCACGGGGTTCAGGCTCAACAGTGTGAAAAAAGATCAAAGTTTATCAAATTCAATCAGTCAAATTCATTTTCACAAAGGTCACCAACCGTGAGATTAACTAAAAGATTAACTAGCTAAAGACATGGGGTTACACCTTAGCTGTGATCACGCTTGCTCTCAAGAGCTAAAAATGGTTGTTTGCCCTAATATAATATAAAAATGCACCTTAAGCTGCAATGAAATGAAGATATGTGGGTTGCACTTTCCAAGTGTTACATAGTTCACTTTTTGTTCCACACAAAGCAGCTGCTACAAGAAATAAATGTAAATTTGAAATTAATTTAACCATTACAATGGTTGTCTGTTGCATGGGATATGTTAGCTTAGCAGACCTCAAATTAGCAGCATTTCAGGGTAGCGCTGTGTTGATTTACTGGGTTCCTACATGTTTCTTATGGAAAAAGGAGGAACCATGTGTTGAGTGCAAAGAGTGCAAAGAGGGCTACAAAAGTCTTCACAAGGAAATAATGTTTCCTAAAATTTTTGTGATCCATTAGGTTCAAATGTCAGGAGATATTGGAGATTATACGGTGGTTATAATGTGGCATGAAGGGGGGCCTGACTGTGATGTCCCAATATGTGGGGGAAAAAAAAAAAAAGAACATACCCAATTTTTCAGACTGTATCTCGACCTCAACAATGCTTGATAGGAAAAAATTCCTTAAATGAGAATATTGGGCATGTCATCAGCACTTTCTTTAACAAGGTTAATATCTGGATTAAAAAAAGATATCAAGTTCCATTTGGTGTAGCTACATTTACAGACCAACCAGCTTAACAAATGAAATATTGTTTTTTTTTACAACTAATAGTTACATTATTGCATTTTTTAAATATATATATTTTTGAATACCTATATGTTTCCCAACTCAAATAAAACTATGCTGTTTCCATTTCCAGTATAAAACCATAAAAAAACCCTAATGTCTTTAAAAATAATAATAATAATTTAAAAAATGATAATAGTTTGAATGAATCTATATGAAAGTTACCAAACAGCAGCATGCTTCCAGTTTTTGTCCTTACCTATAAACAATCAGATGATGGTGAGCGTAAAAGCAGACCATGCCACAGAGACATAACACACCAGAACAAGGGATGTTACTGCATGATGGTAACTAGCACTGAGCTCTGGAGGCGAGTCTCACCTGTGGAGTTGTTACTCTGAAGGACGTTCCCGTCGTTGGAGCAGCAGGTCTCGGAGAGATGTTGTTCTGGGCCTGGGCTTGAGCCTGGGCTTGGGCCAAAGCCTGCTGAGGAACCAACACCAACTGGCCCAATTCGGTGCGCACCAGCACCATTCCTGCATGGCAGCGAGGAACGACTATTAGCGCTTAGGTCATGAGGAAGAAACAGCCAAAGGCCATTCCTCAATTATGTTGTTGTGTCTCATGACTCGTGCACTTTCCCTCCCATTTAGTGGTCAGATCGATGTCTGAATTTAAGGCTTTTCTTTGAGGTCTGACCTAACAATTAAGATTTTAAACAAATTTCACATGGGAACTAGGACACATAAAAGAGCCAAAACTGCATGGCAGGTACTTCAATAGAGGTAGAGAGAGCTTTGAAATCAAAAGAATATGAAGAAACTAAACGATCATTCAGATTTAAGCATCAAAACATGTATTTCTCCTTTCAACAAACTCAAAGAAAATGCCTTCTGTTAGTTAATATGTGTACACATTAACCAATAAAATCTAATTATAGTAAAACTGTCTGATTCTGACCTTTGGTCGACTTACTCATGCATTTCTTTTTATAACATTGACAACTTGTCAAAGTTTATTGTAAATAACAAAGTTGACCGTGTATTCTAACCCTTATGGTACTGTTAGACTAAATAATTTTTTTCTGAGGTCAGATGACTCAGAGGAAGGGCAGCACAGAAACCCTTCTGGCTACTGACCATGAACAAGGTAAGTAAGAACAGTAGCACAATCAATAAAACAAAGAAAACAAAGTTCTTTCCATTTAGAAAAACTAGCAAATTCTCAATTCGAAAAGTAAAACATATGTCCATAAATGTGGAATATTTGAAATTCTTTAAATACATTTTTTCTTAAAAGTATTTAAAACCAATGGGAAGTGAGACTGGAACAAAATGCATACAGAATAGTTGTACATTCTGCTCTCAGATTAACTGAGTTGAACCGATAAATTCGGTGTCTGGTGCATGTGGCCGAAAACTAAACGTTCTCCATCTCTTTCCATTAACTTTTTACTTTTCATAAGCATTAGAAAGTGATTCTGTTTCTTTTTTGTGTATCTGCTATGTCTTCTGAAACCCCATCAGTCTTGGCACATGGTCGCTCGTACTGAGCCAGGTTCTGGTTTTACTGGAGAGTTCTTGCAGTTAAAAGGGAGGGTTTTTTTCTCTCTACTGTTGATACATGCATGCTCAGTATGAGGGAGTGCTGTAAAAACCAGCGACACGTGTGATCGTCTACTGTTGCTGCTTGTTCGTCCAGGACAAGTGAATGCAGCAAGTCAGTGACTCAATGCAAACTGCGGGGTTTCCTTAGACAAAAAACTTTTTGACTAATTTGAATAATGAACTGAACTCGACTGCATTGTTTGATACCTGGGATCAATTGAAATGTATGTATGACTGAAATAAAATTACTTTTTATAAAATGCCTTGAGATGACATTA